CTGTAAAATGGATGGTGGGAAAAACACTCACATTCTAACCATGAGATTTGATTGTGCATGACTTGTCCATGAATTTATTCCATACTCCATTATCTTGGCAATAGATGCTTGAATCCTCACACAAATCCATGCCTGGTCACCCGTACTGGGATTAGTCCAAAACTCTGTTATGCTTTAAACTGGTGTCTTGGGGAACAGAGATGGGACTGCTGGGGAAGGAGCAGTAAGGAGAGCAGGTTGTGAAGCCAAACTAAGCCACTCTCTTCCAGCATTGTCTTAACCTTGGAAAAGTAAAGGAAACTTTGGTCTGTGCTTGGACCCTTTGCTGGAAAATTTGATCTATGCTTGAACTTATACTCTGTCTCTCACATGGATATGGCAGATGATGTCAATTAGAGTCACTGCTTTTCACAGTAAATCTCAATAAAACTCCAGGGGTTTAACACTATTTTGGTAGAGTCTTAGGAGAAAGAGTTTTCTCAAAATCATCTGGAGTGAAATAGGAGTCAGTCAATTTGCACAGTCTCTGGCCTTTCTTGGGAACAGCAAGCCCTTATGCCTGAAGAGGGAGTAGAAGGCAGTCAGACTGTACTTCAGGTTCTTGCCTCTTGCTTGGTTCTTTAGCAAATACTCCCAAAGCACAAGTTCTCTAAAACAAAAATAAATATGAGCAGAGGCCATGCTCTGAGAGCAAGCTATGGAAAGACAAAATTTTTCCTCTGATTTCAGCATGTTCTACCTTTTATCACATCCTACTGATCTGAAAGGGGTCAGAGAAGAGTATATGTGGTTTGGAAACAGGGTTTGAGCAGATTTACTACTGCTTCAGCTGACATAGTGAACAGCCAAAGTGAGCTTACTGCAGTCCTGTGCAAAGTTAAAGAATAGAATAGAATAGAATAGAATAGAATAGAATAGAATAGAATAGAAGAGAATAGGTGACCCTACTGGTTTCCAAGGAGGGGACTTTTTAAACCCATCATCTTTCCTTTTAAAGTAGTCATAACCATAAAGACAAAGATGCTATTTTAATATCTTCTTTGTTAACTCCAGGATAGTATTCAAACACAAAAATGTCAGTATAAACAGTCTGCAATTTAAAAATATTAGCATATCAACAAGGTATGCTGTGAAATCAAGAACTGTAAGGTCACCCTCACCCCATAAGTCTCATCAGAAGCATTTTAATACAAAAGCTGTAATCACAGAATTACTGGCTTCAAACCACTGAATTCCCTGAGGGAAGTTTTATAATGCAAAGGAGTGTAATCATATTTGATTTTCCTTATTGCTAATGCTGTGTGGAGATCTGAAAAATCACTATTAATCTAAGCCAGACAACATAGACCTTAAATGAAAATGTAAAACAATGTCTCAAAATGATGTTCATGCTGATTGCAGGAGGAAGGGATAAAGAAAAGAGGGGGAAGAAAAGAGCTCTCTTTGACTGTCCTTTTCCCTTACTGTCTTTTCTGCATAGGCTATGCAGCAGTTACCTGCTAAAAATAAAATGTGTTTTTAAGTATAGAACTTTGTTTATCTCAAGAAAAACCTGATTGTCTTTTCAGAGAAAGGATAAACATGAGAAGTTTGGTTTGGTTTTAGTCTTGCAAGACTTAGAAACTGCTTGTAGCTTAGAAATCTCTGTCCCAGAAGAGTAAACATTTAATTGTTCTGAGAATTCTCAGGCTTCAGAGAGCTGTACTGATATGCATGATGTTATGATAAAGAATTTCAGACTTATTTCTGGTTTACAAAAGCAATTGGAAAAACATATGAGTAATTGTTCTTGAAGAGTTGTTGCTAAATTTGAAGCAGATGCAATGGAATTCAGATTGTTCTGAATATTTTTAAGAAAAAAGATGCTGGAGTTATGCCTGTTAGGAGTTCAGCATGCATTCAGGGCTGCAAAGGACAAAGGGGAGCCCACGACCACGTGAATAAGCAGCCCATGTGTCCAAGGATTGATATTACTCATGTCCAAGGTACTGGAAAACTGCCACTGGTTTCCTTGAGTCTTGGCTGGGCTCTGAGCACACATCTAAACTTGGCACCATTGGACACCATTAGATAAAAAACTTCTGATTTAGTTGCACAAACACTGATGCTCCCAGGAAGATGATGAGTATCATACAAACACATCTTAGCTCAGACACTGATGCAAGGAATACATTACATTGCTTTCAGAACAGCAAACCCAACAATTCTTGTCAGATAATTTTTTTTTGTCTGTTTCTACAGAAAATGACTGTGAAGGATAATGTCTGGCACTACTCAAGTACAAGCGTTGTAGAGGAATATCATGTTATCAATTAATAAAAAAATAATGTCTCATCAATACTTTATTACTAAATGATAATTTTTCACATTTCACATTAACACAGTATGCCATTTGTCTTAACCTCCTAGCTATGCTGAGGTTTAAACATAAACCTGAATTTTGCATAGATCAAGGGCAGCTTTATTGCAAAGCTGTCAAAAAGGAGTCAAAACAGCACACCAGTCTATTTGGAGTGACTAATTAAAGGATAGATACAATTCATTGTTCTGTAAATTGTTAGAACTGTTTTGGTTCATGATGGGCCTTGTCGTATGAAATCAAGAAAGTAATCTCAGAAAACTTGTTAGACTTCTTGTCTATGTGAAGGAAGTCAGGCACAAAAAAGAAATGGAACAACTCTTGGAGGCAGTTTTAAGTAGTTTTCAACGAATTTGTATTTTATGCATGCAATGGGATACCAAACTGCTCCTGCTCATCCCTCATATCTATATTCTATGGATGGGTTTCTCGTGTGTAAAATGATCAGCCTGGGGGCTTACTGGCAAACTAGTTCCTCTTGTTACTTGGAAGGCCACTTTGAAACACTTCCATGTGGATTGGAGCAGTCAGATTGACTGGATGTAAGCCCTTAGCTCAGGCAGAAGGTAACTCCTGAAACCTAAGTGCAGTCCTCCTTGTTCCTGCTAAAGAAAATGGATTAACATCAAGCACCAAGCATCAGTTAACCCAAAAGAGAGCTGAAGGTCTGTGATTTCTAAGTATTACTGCTGTCTTCTGGCTGAAGGAACACAAACTCAGTAACATTACATTATTTCTGCTCCTGACTGGGTGACTAAATCTTTGAATGGGTGAGTAATAAACAAAAGAATAACAAAGAGTAAGTCATGCTTTCCAGACTCCATTTTAGAAGAATAATCACGGGTCAAAGTTTTGAAAGCTTCCCTATTTTTCAAATGTTTTTACATGGAAATAATGGTAACCCAAATAATTTAAGTAAAGGACATCAGCAGGTGATACAATCTGTGCATGTCTACTTATGAAAAAAACATCACCATGTCTGAATTTATCAGTTTTCTGGGTTTGTAGAAGCTGTAAGCTCTAAGTTCTCAGCCACACAGCGCAGGATCTTACCCACTTAATTTAGGTCTAATCAGCCTTTCCCAGAGAGGTTACAGCAGCATCATATAGGGTTCAAAGACAGGTCATGAGAGTAACTAAGGCAGGTAAAATTCATATGCAAAGAGACTGAAAGTTCTTCTGCTTTGTAGTATTTGCTCTTGGGCTTTTCTAAACAGCTATACTGAAAAAAGGGTGGTAAATATTACAGGAGAATGGTAAAGCCTTTTTGCCTTTATATATGGAAATACATATATCCTAGTTTCTGGCTTCTATTCCTCCTCCCTCTTCTCCCCATGTAACAGTGAAGAAGCCAAAAATGCAACTTCCATTTGATTTTTTTTTTCTGTCTGCAGGTTTCCCCTGGAGGAACTGTAATGGTTTTGACCTGGATACAGTATTAATATAGATATTTAATTTTTTTACCTGTTTTCCTTTGGAAGAAGTGCCAAACACAATTTTTTCTACTTCACCTCAAAGATTGCTAACTGTAGAATTTTTGTAAGCGAGTGATACAGCTATTTCTGTCTATAAATATCAACAGCAAGCCTAGAAAGCTCTCATTGTTTGCTACATGGCAGGTGATCCGTGTAATCCCTTACCAGTGCTGGCAGTTTTCCCTAATGCACTTTTAGAAGGGAGTGATTTCCAGACACACACATGCATGCATGTACACATATTTATCTGTGTCCATCTCCACACACACACACACACACACGTGTATGCATGTACACATATTTACATGTGTCCATCTCCACACACAGTCACAGACACATGTACACACATTCACCCTGTCCATCTCTGTACACACACACACACACATTCACCCTGTCCATCTCTGTACACACACACACAGACATTCACCCTGTCCATCTCTGTACACACACACATTCACCCTGTCCATCTCCCACCCCCGGCTCTGCCGCTCTCCGGACCCCGCAGCGCCCCGGCGGCAGGCGGCGCTGCCCCGCGCGGGCGGCAGGTGGCGCTGCGGGGCCGGGCTGCCCGCGCCGCCCCGCCCGCTCCGGCCGCGCTCCCGGGGCCGCCCCGCCCGGGGAACAGGAGGGAGCGGGAGGGATCGGGAGGGAGCGGAGCAGCTCCCTTGGGTTCTTTTTGCCAGTTTGTAAACTCAGCGAACTTCGGTCGGCCGGCCGCGTCCCTCCGGGCTGCCGGCGATGAACGCCCCCTCCAGTCGGGAGGCAAAACAAAAATCCATCTGGACCCAGGGCAGTGTTCACCCTCCCGCCTCTCCCGCGCCTCGGGAGCGATGGGCACCCGGTGCTGCCAGCCTGGCAGGGCGGCAGGAGGGCTCTGCACCCACTGCCCATCAGACATCGCCGCCGGGGGGCGGGCAGGGCAGGGCAGGGCAGGGCAGGGCGGGGTGCTGGCCCCGCTGCCGGGGCAGGAGCGGGGATTCAGCTCTTCCCAGTGCAGGTCTGGGAGGAGGGAAAGCGGAGGAGGGAGGATCCGCGAGGATCCAGGTAGATCCAGCTTTTACCGCTTACCAAAAGCCACCGGCAGCAGGACCTCCGCCTCCTCCCTCCCTCCCCCTTCCATCCCTCCCTCCTCCCCTAACTCCCTCCCTCCCTCCCCTGCCCCTCCGCGATGAGAGAAGGGCCAAGTCGGTGCGCGCCAGCCAGCAGCGGTCTCTGCCAGGGGCAGACGGATCGCTTTCATGTCGCAGGGTGACTGCTAGCCCTGCGGAGGCTCCCCCGGCCGGGCCGGGCCGGGCCGGGCAGGCGGCGGGCGGGCAGCTGCCCCGCTGCCGGGGTGCGGCCGGCGCGCCCCGCGGGATGCTGGCGGCGGGGGATGCGGAGCCGGCCGCGGAATAACATGGGGGGCGGCCACTCCCACAGGGCGCCCGTCTTCGACGAGAATGAGGACGGTGAGTGCGGAGCTGTCCGCGGTACCGAGCCGCGCCCCGCCCGGGCTGCGCCGGGGCCGCGGCACCTCCGGCCGGGCGGGTCCGGCCCCGCGCCGTGCGGGAGCCGCGGGCGCGGAGCCTCCAGCTGCGGGTGCGCTGCTCGGGAGGCGGCGGGAGAGCCCGCCTTTGTCCTGCCATCCTCACCGAGAGAGTGGCTGGCTGCTTTTAGGCACGGGCTCGAGTCTAGCACATCGTCCGCTGGGGTTTAAGCACATGGCAGGTAACTTCAAACCTGCGTTTATGAATGGGCATAGTTTGTGAGATGGATGCCCACGCTTTTCGTTTTGTTTATAGTCGTCTCTTTGCCCACCTGCCTGTTTTAAATGGTGATGTCTCTCTTACTCTATACTTATTCCATCACCTTTACTTTCTGAAACTTTTTTTTAGCATGTTCTATTACTCCGAGTTTCTACTCCCTACCTAGGTAATATGCCATAAGAAAGTGTATCTTGTAAAGTTTGTGGAAGGCAATGGAAAAGTTTGCCTAAAATGTGGTGTTTCTTTGCTCTTTATGCATTTCAGTGTAATTTTTCCAATGTAGACTGTATTTAATTAGAATTGTGTGAATGCATTTCAATTAAAATAATTTGGGGTCTTGAAGCAGAGAGAACACAGCACTCTTAGAGAGTAGATATTTGTATATTAATGTAGAAATGTTTTTAGTGTTACTTATGGAATAGATGTTGCTGCCTACCTAGGCAATGGGTGCTTAATTTTGAGGAACTTCCCCAGAAGTTCCCAATATATTTCATTAGGAATTGATTGTGCCTTAATAGACTCACACTGGCTTCCTAGGTTTCATGACAAGTCAAAACCATGTATGTTCTGCCCTATATGTTCAGGGCACATGAAGATACTTGTATTGTTTTCCTAGTAGGGGGGAAACATCTTAAATGCATGTAAGGTGCTTGAAAGGGTGACTACCTCTTGCATGTAAGATGAAATTACCATTTCCTATTCCTTGGCAAAGCATGATGAGGTGTGGTTTCCATTCCATTTTTTGTGTGGGGAAAGGGACAGATTGTTTACCATTTGTTTTGCTCCATGTTGTGGAGCCATAGCTGCTGTTTTCTTGTACTGATATAAAATTTCAGACCTTTACCACAGGTCATGCTGTGTAAACATACAAGTGACAAAGAGCCCCCCTCACCTCTCCCCAGGCAAAGTCTCAACCCTGCACAGTTGGTGTTGCAAACCTTGAGGTAACTCACTGAAAAATACCCCAGAGTGAAAGCATGCTGTAAATCTTGTCCAGACACCCTAAGGTAAAAAGATACCCATACTCCTGCCTTTCAAGACTTCTAATTGGGCTCTCTTGAGTTAGCAGTTCCCATGAATTATTAGCACCTTTATTTTTTTTTTCCCCATGCTACAAAATTGTGGTCAGTTTTTGATCAAAATGAACAAAGTTCAATAGTAAATTATTGCAGAAATGCCTTCATGGCACTTAGTTCTCTTTCTGTCCAGAAAGCATTTCTGCAATGCAGCCATTATTAACAGCTAATAAAAAAAGAGCACATGAAGTATTTATGGATTTCAATTAGGTCGTTATTTATTCTTTGCATGGTTTTGTTTTGTTCTGAGCTGGTGTTCCCCATTACGAATGTTGCTAACATAATCTTTTATTCCTCTTAATATACTTTGCTTGGCACAACCATCTAGTTCAGAAGAGTCCATTGCTTTTGAAACAATTACCAATTTCCAATAGTACTTACAAAATATTGTTCAGGATGGCATTTCCCCAAGTACCTAAACAATATGGGGAAATATCTCCTCTTTGAAAGTGTATCTAACAGAATTTAATACACAAATGAAGCTGGTTTTTTTCACATTCCCACTAGTAGCTATAAAAGTCACCATTTCCCACAATATTGGACTCAACATGTAATAATAATAAAAAAAAAGCTAATGAAAAAGTATAACAAGAGAAAGTGGAATTGTTTCTGAGATGGTATAATTGCTTAAGAATAACAATCAATCCATAGAGAATTGGAATAGGTAAGTTGTATATGAAGATGTAGGAATATTAAAAATTAATCTATTTAATGTATTATGCATAATGTCTCAGCTGCCTCTTAAAATTATAAAAATTAACAGAAAAAAGTATTGCCATTTTATATCCATGCATGTTTATGATGAATATAGAATAAAACATGAATTTTGGAAGTAAAGGTTTAAAGCCATTTGTCATCACTCTGTAAATCATAGAAAAAGTTACTTAGTGTATTAGTTAATAAATAAATGTATGGAAATAGTGTGTGAAGAGCACCCAGGTGCTGCCTGACAAGCCTATGGAGTGTCTGTTCCAGAGTTACAGCTCCTGTTTCTAATGGGCAGAGGTGTTGATCCATTGAGCAGATCTACAATCTGTAAGCTGTATGTAGACTCCCCTCCATGCTCAGGGTAATAGAAAAAATATTCTAGAGAACCAGAAGCCTGAACTACGTGCTGTTAGTTCCCAGTTATTACAGCCAGTACAACACATCATTATCATACACTAATCTTTTTAAAGGCAGTAATGCATACCATTTTTACCAGCTACATTATTTCTCTGTGTTCCATTTTTATTAGAAGGATCTTCCAGAACATCTCTCTTTGAATGGTTAGAAACATCTGTTTTCATGACTAGGTTTCTTCACCTACTTACAAGATTTGTGTTTAATTCAATTTTTTTTAGTTTAAAATGCTCTCCCCCTCCAGGATTATTCCAGGGCTTTGATAGACAGCAAAAATGTCCCCTCTCGCTCTTTGATTTGTAGGGAAACCTTTTCTATTTTTCTATCATTTCTACTGCTTTCTCATTTCCTGTGCCCTGCATCTGTCTGCATTTGAACCTGCCTTGGTTTCACACAGATAACCAAAATTATACACAGAATTGTAGGTGAGTTTTCCCTGGGACCATGTGTTGGAAAGAATACATCCTGTTCTCCACTGGAAACAATTCTATCACAGCCTATAATTACATATTCCCTTTTCATGGACATACCATGTGAATAGTTCTGTCATCCTGTGGTCAGTGCCCTGCTCAGTAATTTCCACTGATGAACTCCAATTCACATGAGAAATTTTTGGTGTTCCTATGTACATGGCCTTTTGCAGGACTGAATTTTGGTCCACTTCTATTATTCATAATCTCAAAGATGATCACTCACTTCTTTCCTTGCAACACTCTGATTCTGTTTAATGCAATGTTTTAAATTATGACCACACTGATCATGTCAGTTATCAAGACCACTGAACACTTTGTGTAAGTATTCAGCTGGATCATATCCAGACTTAATCTTCTTTGCTTTTAACCCCTGCCAGCCTCATAGCTCCCGTTTCTAAATAATACTTTTTCCAGTGTTACTGCCATGGTTTAACCCAAGCAGCAACTCACTCAGACCCACACAGCCACTTGCTCACTTCCCCCAGGCGGGATGAGGGAGAGAATCAGAATAAAAGTTACATGGGTTGAGATAAAGACAGTTTAACAGGGGAAGCAAAAGCTGTGAACACAAACAGTGCAAAAGAAGGCATTTATTCCCTTCTTCCCAGGGGCAGGCAGTGTCCAGCCACAGCCAGGAGAGCAGGGCCCATCATGTGTGATGGTGACTTGGGAAGACAAATTACACCACACTGAATGTTTCCCCCTTCCTTTGTCATCCAACTTTATATACTGAGCATGAAGCCATAGGGTGTGGGATATGGTGTGGGATATCCCTGGGTCAGTTGGGGTCAGCTGTCCTGGCTGTGTCCCCTCCCAGCTCCTTGTGCACCCCCAGCTCCTCACTGGTGGGGTGGGATGATGGACAGGAAAGGCCCTGGCTCTGTGGAGGTGCTGCTCAGCAATAGCTGAAATATCCCTGAGCCACCGGCTCTGTTTCCAGCACAAATCCCCAGCACATCCCCACACTTTCTGCTCTGAAGAAAATGAACCCTATCCCAGCCAAAACCAGCACAGCTGCCCACCTTGCCTTTTGTCAGTTTATCCTCACCTTATTCAGCTTTGCTTATACTTCCTTATGTCTCTTTCCACTGAAACTGAGAAAAATTCAATTTAAGACTACTCTATCATCTACAAAATAAGTTTGTCATCAAGGAAAAATGTCTGGTTACTCATGTGCAAAAAACTTCTGGTAAAACCATGATGTATTTATCTAATTTTCTCTTCTTAGCCTAGGTTAAGGCACAACAACAGCTAGGAATAATCCAGGGAACAGAGCCCTTTGTTTGCCTAGACCTTTTACTCTGGCTAAAGATATAGCAAAATATGTTTCATTTCTTGATTTTTATTGCTGTATAGGTTGCATAGAGAACTGCATCTGCTGTTGTGCAGCATCACTACTCCTTACTAAAGCAAGACACTTATATGGTGTGGAACTATAACATATTTCTCAGACAGTTGAAAGGCATTTTAAGCAAGATACTACACAAATTATATAGTCAACTCAGGCAAAAGGAAAACAGTTTTACTGTGGTTAATACTACTGAAGCAAAGGAACTTGGCTGTCTTCACCTTGAATATTTCCTATTCCCATAAGAACTACCCTCTCCTGAATACGTATATCCAGTGCTACTATCAGGAGAGCAAAGAAGTAAATTTTTCCTCATGTTCAACTCTTCAAAAACAGCAATATGTTCACAAGAATGGCAATAGAAGCGTAAGGCTAATATTCACCATTGGTAAATTATCCTTGCAAATTCTGTAAATATCACAAGTAATGAATATATTAGCAATAACCTAGTGCCTGTAAAGGGTGTCTTTCATGCTGGATTTGCTTGACTGTGTTCAGTTAAAATTTCAATCATATTCAAAGTGTGAAAATTAAATAGTCAAAAAGAGTAATTTAGGAAAGAGCTGACTCAGGAGAGATATTACTACTATCAAACAGGAATAAGGTGTTTGCTTACATTGTGGTGGAAGATACAGAGGTAAGGATAAGAAACAAAGTGTTAGAAGTTGGTCCTGCCAAGTGATA